GAAATATTACCTCTATTCACGTTTATCTACTATAGGGGGTATTTCTACGTACTAATACATTATATAATACCTCCGTAACTACTAGGGTATTACATAATACGTCGGGTTACCTACGGATAGGTACCCTAGGTAGTTTAGTAGGGTACTTTTACACTACAGTTTAACTATAGTTTAGCCGCGACCGGCCACTTTTCTTTTATCTACGTATATATTTATATATGCTAGCACACTTTCGGGTCCGACAAGGACTGATTTTACACGGTAGACTCGGGTCGAGTCTTATTAAGTAGGGGAGGATGTAATCCTAGGCGTACTTTACCTTCCTTTAACCTTATATATTCGGCCCCTTACGGGTACCTTCTGCCATGTTTAACCGCACTTATGTCCTTATAGACATATTCGCTTACGATAATAACAGAACATGCTCTTACACTCCCGTTATCTCAGGTAAAAGCGCTATACGTACCTGATTTCTATACGAATCTGCTGTCCCTCGGCCGCATCAGTGAGAAAGGCTTCGAATTCTATAGTAGAATCCCCGCTATTATCAAGAACGAAAAGCCTATTGGAGCGTTGGAAAAGAGGCATAATCTCTACATCGTAGGAAACACCTAAGACAGACAGAAACTGCCTAAGAGCACTCCTCTAGCGATGGTAACGGGTTACCCTAGGCATAGCCAAAAACCCCTTATGTCCGTCGCTACACCGAAGCGATAGCATCAACGACTCGCCTATATATATAATCAACGGATCGAGAGGCTCTCCGAGATAGTCGATAGTATCGAGGTTAAGGGAGACACTATAGATAATACAGAGTGTAATCCTAAGAGATATAAGGTCTGTCAGCGTAATATAGCTAAGAGACAGATATCTAGGAGACCTATAGCAAGAGAGTATATCTTTAGAAGATATAGAAGGATTCATTTCGACCTTATTTAGCTTACCACGGCCTATAACGGCTACTGCTAGATAACTTATATATATATTAAGGGTATCCGGCTGTATATAACAGTTTCTCACGAAAGAAAGAACGGCTGTTAATCGGCGATTATATACTTTATCGCCGTGCTAGAGACACAGCTAAAAATAATAATCCGGGTGTTTAAAAACAACTATAAGAGAGCGTCCGGAAAGACAGTAGACGATTTCTATCTAGACAGAGGTATAATTATCGAATACAGCGTTATTAGAACGCCGGAAACGAATAGCTACGGTAAACGATCTAGGGGGGTAATTATTAGAGTAGCTAGAGGGCTTCTTATAGAATTAGGCCTACCCAGAAACCTCTAGCTAGAAGCAGTCATAGTAGCGGTTTATATTATTAACAGATCGCCTACTAGGCTACCGAACGGCGAATAGATTATTCTATACGTTAAAGCGATGCACTAAGACCAGAATCGGCCAAAATTCCGCCTAAACCTATCGAACCTCCGTATATATAGTTACAGAGCGTACGTACGCCGCTAGGGCGTCCCGAGGACAGCTAAGATAGAAGATCGTACAGAGATCGGCTATCTCGTCGGTTATATAGCTTCTAATATATAGCGAATCTAGTTTCTATATAGGGGAGCTATCAGGGAAGTACGTAACGTGGTATTTAATAAGAATATCAAATTTAATCCCCGAGAGCTTCAGGTTAGACTATCCGACGATATTATCGATACCCTACCTTAGAATATTGGCCTTAATGAAGAGAAAGATAGTTAGCTAAATATATATAGTAAAGGGCTCGTAGAAGAAGTAACAGTCGCAGAATAAGACGCCCTACTAATATAAGATATCCCTTAGCCGAGTACGTTAACCGAAGAGACGATAGAAACTTAGAAGGACAGTCAGAAGGACAGATAGGTAGTCTATCAGATACCATCCCCTACACCGTCGGTAACGTAGGAAGCGTCGCAGCTAGCAGAGATCTCTATATCTCTAACACTAGATACACCGCCAGAGGCGAGCCTACTAGGGGCATTTCTAACTAAATTTCGTCAAGAGACCCCTAATGAATAGCTTCAGGATAAGCTCTAAGAATATATAACACTAAGAGCGCCTAGAGATATCGACGGGACAGTCTTATAGACTAATATCGTTACGGGTACGCACTAGAGAAGGGCTCCGCAGGGTTATAGCTATCTCGTAATAATATAGGACCCTAATAAAAATCACGACGGAGTATTAGCCGTATATATAACTAGCTTGAACCCTCCCTAGCCGTATTAACGGCCACACTAGGACGACTTACCTCCTGTACCTATAAATTAGCTAGAGATAATAAAATATCTATACCGTGATGTATTCATCGCCGTAGCATCGCTAGAAGTCAAAACGCTAGACAGAAAAGAGATATACTAAGAGATCGACCGCCTAATAGACCGAGGTATCTAGATCTTACTATTAAAATAGGTCTTTACGTATAAATTCGATAGTAATAGATTCCTAGTAAAGCACAAGGCTAGAATCTACGTACGTAGAGATCTCTAAGCCGTTAGTAGTAACGAAAAATACTTAGCAACGTTAGTAGCACAGACAGCGAGGTCCGTCTTCGTACTAGTAGCTATATTCGACCTAGATACCTATTAGTACGACACCGTTAACGTATTTCTAAACAGCCTACTAGATAAAAAGATCTATATAGAACTACCTCCTAGACTATTCCCTTAGGGGAAGAAGAAGAGAGTCTAGAGGCTTATAAAGGCCCTATATAGCCTACGGAAGTCTCCTAGGCTATAGTAGCGTAAGGCCTCTTAGGTGCTTATCTCCCTAGGTCTCTGCGTCATCTAGGAAGATCTTTATCTCTTCGTCGGTAACGGAATTATTATATTCTTCTATATCGACGATATTATCACTATTAACTACCCTATAAAACGGACAGCCGTAGATAACCTACGGAAGAAGCTCTATAAGGCATAGGAACTAAGGGAAATAGGTAAAGCGTAGTAGTTCTTAGGGATACGCATCCTTAGAGATCGCCGACAGAAGGCGCTTTAGCTATATCAAGATTCCTATATCTCTTTAATAGCTAACCGATATTATCTTACCGAGAGCCGTAGGTACGATACCCCCCTCCCTAAGATAACAATAAAGCTATATAACGGTATAGCTACACTAGAGTAGATTTATTAATACTAATAGAAGGTTAGGTCTGCCTAATATACTACTATAATCAGTCGACCAGACGTAGCTAAAGCCACTAGAGATCTAGCTTAGTTTCTAACGAACCCTAGGCCTAAATACCTCTACGCTATCGATCGAGTTATCTCCTACCTCTACCAGACGAAATCTAGGGCTATTATATACCGTATACCCTCGCATCCGTCCGAACTACACAGAGAGATAGCGGAGATACAGATCTTTAGTAATACATCCTTCGCTAATAACTATAACCGAAAGAGCTCGGAGGGATACATCTATATAATATATAGTAGACCGGTTAATTAGAAGGCTTCTAAACAGACGACCGTCACTACCAGCACCACCGAAGCTAAATTATTAGCGATCTCATCGGCAGGGAGATCGCTATACATATAGACTCGCTTATTTAAAGCGATTAATTACCTACTAAGTCAACCCGTCGCCTTAAGATACGATAACCAGTAGACTATCGGTCTATTAACTAAGGAAACACCTTAACTACGTACTAAGCTTCGTCACGTCGACATCCACCACCACTAGCTTCGTTAGGAAGTTCAGGCCGGTAGAATACCAGTACAGTAGGTACCAACGGGCGATATAGTGGCCGATAGGCTTACTAAGCTGCTACCTAGGCAAAAACACACTGAATTCGTTCGTTTAATAGGTCTAGAGGATATTAAACGGCTATTAGAAGCTTCGCACACCTAGGTAAGATAGGCTACGCGCAGATTAGGCGAAATTGGCCGCTTACTGAGGGGGTATGTCGAAATATATAGAGTGGTAACTTACCACTAAGAACGGGCTTATTCATCAAGCGCCCAGGTTTCTTATGTTTTTATATATAATACTGGCTTACAGAGAAACTCAGGCTTTGTAACAGCCGAGTATCGGCCGCACGGACAGAAATACGTCCGTACAGCCAGGGGATAGCTATTCAACAGGCAATCCCCCTGATCTTCTATCATCATCAATCTGATCAATTATCTCTCGTCCCATTGGACATCTTTCATACTAGCCCATACAGAATCAGCCCATTCTGTCAAGATGCCTCAAGTACTTACCTAGTGTCAGCACATGAAGGGGTAACTTACCGCTAGCAACTGATTGGTTGCTGATGGGCCCACATCGTCCTATGTAATAAGGGAGCTGAGCAGCAATGCAGGCTTTGTCACAGCTGAGTAACGGAGACACATCAGACACATCGAATAGCGGTGTGGCTCAGTGTGTTTTTGTAACAGCGCTTCTCCTCCCGTCTTTCTACTGAATCACTCAATGTTATTCTCCTATATTGGTTCCGCTTGATATCATTCGTCATCTTTGCTTACTAGGCTATACAGCATCAGCTTGCCCTGATACCTAGTTAAGCACTGACCTATTCGGCACCCTAGCCTGGCACCACTGTAGTTTCCATTGAGGTGCGGGGAAGTGGGGCAATTTGAGTATGAAAAGGTGATCAGTATATTGCGGATGGTTGCCTGCGAGCCGCCAGAATAGCTCGCCACCCTGAGGGTATATATGTTATGGTATCTACTTGCAAGTTGGAGGGCCTATCGAGCAGGTAAGGAGGAACCAGTATAGTCAATTTTGAAGCAAAGACTAATTCTTAAGGAATCAGGAAGATATGGGAAGATGTGGGATTTATACTAGAGCATCCTGTGGAACACGCTAGCGTAGGGGTATTGGTGATGCTTCGCCATGGGTTCGATACATGATATGCCAAGGAGCACCACGTCTCCGGAGCGGAGCGGGGTAATCCCGGAAATACCTAGGTAGAAGCGGAGGGTTATCGGCGAGGTCCCGGGGGTCAGGTGTGTCAAATGCAAAGCCACAGGTCTTCTATACAGGGAAAGCCTCGACATGTCACCAGTTGAAGATCATTGCAGTTGAGCATCCGAGACATAATGACTTCCACCAGCGCATCGATACCCTCCACTTTGTTTGATCCATCGATATCCCACAGGACAAACCCCCATTGTCCTTAGTTTATTCTGGTTAGCTTGTTCCTTGCGACGGGCCTCGGCCATGGCTTCTTGCTGCTTTTCAAGTTCTCGGGCGATTGCCTCCTGTCTCCTCCGTTCCAATTCATGCTGCAATCGGGCTTGCTCGTGACGTCTCCTTAAGGCATCATCCGCTTCTCTTCTTGCTTGTTCGGCCTCTCTTGCCGATTTGTCCTCTTCTTCTTTCAGCCCCAGAATCTTCTTCTTCTGCTCTTGCACCTCTTCTACCACACGCAATTCCTCCTTTTCTGTTGCTTCTGCCGCAGCTTTGTCTTTGTTCAACTGCTCCCAGACTTCGTCTGTAACATCAGGGTCGCGCTCCGAAGCTGCAGCTTGCTGTTGTATCTCTGGTTCTATCGCCGTGTTTGACTCGGCGCTGGCTGCCATGTCTGCTTTAGTGAATTTGTTGCTTTCCACTTTGGTCACGGGTTGGTCCACGGATTCAGAGCGTAAAGGAAGCCTCTTCTGCTCTCCAAGTTTGATTGCAGTCGAAGAACGCTGCATCGCCTGGTTCTCGCGGTTAGACCGCTCATGGAGCATGGAGTCGAGTTCTTCAACCACTATTTCTTTGCTCAATAGCAACTTCTTTCCATTGGGTGCTTGAAGCGAGTTCAAAGCCTTCGCAAAAATGCCCTTTGCCAGAGTTCCAACATCTCGTGCGTTGGCCCAGCTTGCCGTTCGTGAAAGAAAGTCAAAGCGATGCAACATCTCCTTCGTCAGTTGAGGATCCAGTCTTTGCAAACAGGTGATATCGAATTCCACCTGTGATTTATCCAAAAGATCTTTCTTTTCTTTCGACAAGATCTCATGGAGCAACTGAATACAGTCCCTGGGAGATAGCGGCTGGAATTGAATAGACTCCGGGAAGCGACTGGTTAGACCAGGGTTGACCGTCATGAGCTGGTTAATATCTGCATCATAGCCGGCCAGAATTATGATCAACCTTTGGCTGAATTTCGGCTTCGTGATGCAGTCCACGAGTTCATCCATGGCCTCTTTAGCAAAGCTTCCTTTCGTGTCCGCAAGACGGTATGCTTCGTCTATGAACAGGACTTTCCCAAGGGCACCCTCCAATAACTTTTGGGTCTTTGGGCCGGTTTGCCCGATATATTGACCTATTAAATCCGTTGCTGAGGTCTCGACCACCTCGTTCGAAGCCAACAGACCCATATCGTAGTAGACCTGCCCCATCTTTCTGGCTGTGCTTGTTTTTCCAGTTCCTATCGATCCAAAGGTCAACAGACTTGATAGCAGTAAGCCAATAAAGCTTTAAGTGGAGTTGACATACCCGGTGGTCCTCGAAAGACAAAATTGAACGGCAATTTCTCCCGAGGGTTCATATTCAGCTGCCTTAGGTTTCTCACCAGCTGCTGATAACCAACTAGTTTAGCAACAATGTTTTCACTTCCCACCACCCCTTCAAACATTTTGGAAACGCTGGCGTCATTCTTGTCCGCGCGATCAAAGTTCTCATCGAAGTCGGCGGCATCGAGGTTAGCGTCGGCGGTGCGACTCTTGGATCTGCTGGAGGAAATCCGCTTCTGGTGGTGCATCTTTGCTGTATTGAGCAAAATATCAATCTCGCCGGCATTTCCAAAATTAGGACAATTTCGAGCCCTCTCTAGCATCTCTGAGACCACACGCCGAGCGCGGTCGGTAACACCGTATCCCTGTTCTTTCAACTTTAGATCCAGAATAAGATCCAGCTCTTGCTTGGTGAAATCCTCAAAGACAAAGGCCTGGTCCATGGGAAAGCGCCGGCTGAGGCCTGGGTTGACATTTTGGAACATCTGCTGCATTTGGTCCTTGTAACCTAGAAGTAGAACACACCGATCATCACCAGGTGTGCTCTGTACATCGGCCACGATGGTATCAACGACAGCACTCCTAAATTGGTCAGTCCTGGCCCCTGTACCATCCGATGACCCTCCTGAAAATAGCCCATAAGCTTCATCAATGACCAAAACTTTGCCTAATGTAGCCGCGAGGATTCCTTTCGTGTTTTTCTCTGACCCTCCTATCACGCTGTCCACAAAGTCGGATGGATTCTTCACCACCACTTTGATACCTGTTAGTAATGTGAATATGAAATATGAGCTTTTATGCGTACCTTCGCCATTAGATAAGAAGCCGATGTCCACGAGGATCTGGCCATAGATCTTTGCGATTGAAGTCTTTCCAGTCCCAGGATTTCCGAGGAAGACCCGATTGAGACTGTATTCAACCAGGGGCTGTTCATCAAGCTCACGACAATAGTTGTAGCGCATTGTGCCCACAAGGGCTTCAACTGTCCTTTTCACGGCATCCAATCCAATCATGTCTTGCAGTCTCTGCCACGATTTCGATGATTTCAGCGCTTGCGATGGATCTGGGCCGATCATATCCTGCCAATCCAGGAAAAAGTCGTCAACTCGCAAACCTTGCCGTCTCTGCTGGCTGAGCCGTTCGGATTGTCGCTCGGAAACCTTTGCCATGGCATTCTCAACAGCCCTTGCATTTGCGAAGCCCTCACGCCCGCGCCCACGTCCGATTCGGCGAGCGGCAATGCGGCAGTAGAGGCCCCCGGGGCCACCATCGACCTTCATTTGCTTCTTATATGTCTCTTCGATCCACCTCTCCAAGATTTGCATCAGCTCCATATCGTCAAAGTCGTGGAATTTCAGCTCGTGTGGGAAACGGCTAGAGAGTCCAGGATTGTGACCAAAAAACTTTTCCATCGGTCGCTGATATCCCGCAAGAATGAAGACGATTTTTCCTGTGAGATTCTCAACCTCAGCCAAAAGGAAGTCGACGACCTGGCTTCCTCCAAAGCTGCTGTCTTGTACAAGCTGATAGGCTTCATCAATGAAAATCGCCCCTCCCCCACTCTTGAGGAGACTCTCGATGATTTTCTGACATCCCGAAACACCCTCGTTTGCCAGCCTTGACCCAGCAGTCTCAACAAATGTGTGTCCAGGAATGATTCCCACCGCCGCCAAAAATTTGGCATAGAGGCGGGCTACCGTCGTCTTGCCAGTCCCAGGATTCCCAAGCAGCACAGATCCAAATCGCTCACGATTTAGATCGACGTTTTGCCTGACAGAAAGGTCGACTTTTGATTTGATGGCCAAGAACTTTGCTTTCACCGACTCTAGTCCGATCATGTCCATCAACTTGTCGATTTCATGGCTCTGGGCATTGAGAAACTTCTTTTGATGGTCCCAGTCGCTTCTGGCCTTTGAAGGCTTTTGGCTCGGCATCGCTTGTGGCTTTGATCTATCGCTGTGCTCATTGCTGCCAATTCGAGGTTGCTTTCTGGTGTCTTCTCCAGTATCTATCCCAGTGAAGCTCGGACTTGCTGGTACTTCCCTGGCACCCTCGTGTTCAATGGCATCTTTTGCATTTTTCGTCACTTTCGGAGGATTTTTTAAAGCCTCGATCTCCTGGTGATGTTGTTCAAGAACTCGACTACGCTCCGCGTTATCGAGATCATCACGTCGCAGACGCCTCAAATGGGAAGCTTCGTCCTGAGCTTCCGCGAGCTGCTGGGCATACGCAGCTTGCTTTCTCTGCCGTTCCGCCTCTAGTTTAAGATCACGTTCACGCTTGCGCTCCTTTATAAGATCTTCTTGACCGCAGAAGCGACATGCCCGTTTGGCCTGGGCACACGGGAGCGATAAAGAATGACCACGCGGGCAGTCCCATTTCACGAGTCTTGTACATGTCATTTTGGAGTGGTCCACAAGCTGATGGCATTTGGATTGGCATTCGTGAAGTCCGCAACTGAGCTTCACACCACTATTTGAGCAGTCAATATCTGGAAAAGATTGGGATGCTGGGGGGAGGAAGGCATCTAGAATCCGTGATAAAGATAAACATAAAAGACCTACCAAGGTGCAGAGCATCCTCCATCTGGGGCTTCCCGCTCGAAGTCCTCTGATGTCTGAAGGATCGCGTTTTTTTGAGGGTGTTTCTCACACCGTACAGGCAATCCATCGTATAGTTGCCCATTAGCTTTGAGTTGATCGATTAGTGGCTTCCAGGCCTTTTGTCCCTTTCTGCTAGAGACAAAAGTCTCCGAATTTCCCACCATTATCAGGACATCTCGGGCCCGCGAAAGCAGGACATTCAGTCGCTCAGGGGCAGCCATGAACCCTATGTCGCCGCTTTTGTTGCTTCGAGTGAGCGATGCTATGACAACCTCACTCTCCTCTCCTTGGTAATTGTCTATTACGCATGGTTAGATTCTTGTTTCAGACCCCGACTCCTCATCCGGTATGCTTACCAATGGTCGAAAGTTTAAGTTGACGCTTGGAGTGATTGGCGCCCGCCTGTGATAAGAGCCCTGCGCGCACAAGATCGTAGGAATCAAGATCATTCAGCACAGGATCATTTTGCTTGCTCAATGTCTCTTTCAGAAGTGAGAGCTGACCAAGATACGGCGTGAGAACGACAAGATTGTCTGTTCCATATCCTTGCTGTCCGAGATACTTGACAATCTTCAAAACAATGTTTGCCTCGAAGATGTTTTGCTTGGAGTTTTTCGAACCTTCATCTCGGCGATCAGAGATCTCTGCGAAGCCTGATTCGAGGTGTGAATGGTTGAAGAAGATCACCCGATTGCATAGCCCTCGTGGCTTGGGACGGGTCTGGGTTGACTCGGCGTCTTCCAATCCGGGATACGTAAGTCTGCGCACAAGCCCTGAGATCTCGGGACACATGCGGTGTTGCTTCAGCAGTGTTGTGTGCGGGTACCCAGCTTGTATAAGTCTCTCAAATAGAGACACGTTCAGGTCATAGCCGTCTCCCTTTTCAGTGCTCAGGGCATAACTATTAATCTTCGGCCGGAGTTGCAGATGATCCCCTATCAAGATCAAATGCTTGGTCTCCGGGGCTATTGCTGTGAGAACATGAGACTCCAGAATCTCACCCGCCTCTTCAAGTAACACGATCCCAGGAGAAGCACGTCGGAGATCTTCAGAATACATTGCGGCAGCTGTTGTTGTACAGCCAATGATTCGCTTTCGATTCAGAATCTCCCGGGTCCTCTCACCCAAGGCAGCGCTCAGCTTTTTCTCACACTTGTCGAGCAATGCCATTTCGACGGCCAAAGATGCAGCTTGCTCGTGAAGCAAAGCCCGTTTCCAGCATTGGACTTTCTCATCTCGCACCTTCTGCTCTAGCGCCCACACGCTGTGGCAGCGGTCGGGGAGCAAGTCATAGACAAGCTTGGGGATTTGTCCTTTCGTCCACTGGTCATAAAGATAGTCTTTACTGATTGCCTTTCCACCCTTACCAACCATGCTCATTCCGCTCTCGTCCTCGGGGACGGTCAACGCTTCAAAGTACTCAGGGTCTTCGAACTCCAGATAATCCAGTATAGATGCAGCATCGACTGCAAGTTTCTGGTATGCTTGGAAAGAAGTTTCCAAGGCATCCTGTTGGTTCGATCCCTCATTATTGAGTGTGTTGATAGTATCCCAGGTCGATTGAGCCCTCCTGTGGGATGACTTCTGCTCCTTGAGGGTCAGCGGCTGGGTTCTTGTCGTGAACTTGGATCCCATTCGAACAATGTCCGAGGGATCGATTCCAATATCCAGCAAGTCTTCTAAAAACTGATCCAAAGCGTGATTGGTGTAGCACATAACCAGTATCTTGTGTTTGGTGTGGTCATGGAGGACCTTGGACAGAAGGGCACCTATGAATGATTTTCCAGTCCCTGAAGCTCAAATAATCAGCCACAAAAATCAGAGAAGTCCGAAACTTGGTTTCAAAATACCTGGAGGGCCTTGAATTAAACTCAGTCTTTGAGTCAATCCTGCCAGCAGAGACTCGAGTTGCGATGGGTCCAATGTAATGGGCTGGGAGGTTTTTAGGATGTCTTGGATATTGCGTCTATACATTTCCTGCAATTCGTTGACCACCTCCCAAGGAGCCAAACTTGACTCCTTCATCGGTTGGTCTCTTTCATAAAGAAACAACTCTTCCGTGAGAGGAAACTCTACTCTCTCCTGTAGGCATTTCAAAATGGGCTCGTAGGCAAAAATGGGTGTGTCAACCACCAAAAAGTCCACATCGTTGTAAAGCTTGAGAAAAAGGAGTGATTTCTTGAGTGCCTCCTGGCCTGCAATTCGCAGCATGACTACAGGAGGATCAGATATCAGGGCATCAATGTCCCTTTCGATTGTAGCAAAAGCCACAATTTCCGTGTCTCGAATCAAGCATCCAAACGCATGGTGCTTAACAAAGTGATGGGTGTTTTTCAGGAATGTCTTTCGGTCTTCTTTTGGTAGGTTCTTGAGCTTCTCAAGGCCTGACCTGGCGGTGACACCTACCTTGCATGGCCGAAGATGGTTTTGCTCGCTCGAACTGGAACAGACACGAGCCAGAGAGAGACCTCCGATGCGGAATGCAGACCGCCGCCCCTTCTTTGTGCCATTTGCGATTTGAAAATCATCGCGGAGCCCCGACAGCATGTCCTCTCGCAAAAGACGAAACTGATTGTCAACATGGCTGGCGATGCGCTGGCTACCAGATAGATGTGCGATTTCATCCACGCCTCGGTAGAAGGGTTTCTCGGTACATCCCATCTCATCAGCAGTGGGCAAAATGGCTATCAAGCGGAAATCAGGAAAGTCATTGTTATGCCGACCGCCCGCTGTGATTTCGGAGGAGGGTAGAGCAGCTGCAGAGGTCTTCATCTCCAGGAGGTACTTGATCTTATGCCCTTGGTTTCGCAGATGAATCAAAGGCGACAAAAAAAGCGAACCATCATCCACAATGGCCTGGGCATCGGCCCTGATATCCACCGCGGATGAAGTGGGCAATGACAGTAGCTCGGTGGTCAACCAACATAGGGCCTGCGTCCCATCTTCATCCAGCTTTCGGGTACAAAAAGCCTCCACAAACGAAGTCCAGAGGGTGCGAGGCTCCAAAATGATAAGGAGAAGTTGTTCGAGAAACAGGCCGTTGCCCAGAAGCTTTACTTCCGGATGGTTCAAGAATTGGATGAACTTCGCAGTATAACCGTTGACGAAGACCGGTGTAAGGTTGAACCTCAATCCACTCCGAAGGGCGCCGAGAGCGCTTGGGCTTGCGATGAGTCTCTCAACTGCAACGCAGCGATCTTTCTGGTCCAGAATAGCTTCGATGAACCGCTTGAAGCTGCTGAGATTCTGGACTTCCTCCTTTCCATAAAGAACTGCTCCAAAATATCTGGCCAGCCGATCCGATCGGATATTCGTAGACATGGTGAGAAAATCCTAAGATGGATGACACTGAATGGTAGATGGTTGCAAGAATAGAAGAAACCTCTTCCAAATCAAATCAAGTAGCTTGGCTGAGGCACGGGAGACAATATTGGGCAGCCTTGGGAAAGAGCAGAGCCGCTGCTGTCGGAGGCTGCCTCACTTACCCTTGACAGCGAAACAAACTGCAAAGGTGAGGGGTTCAACCTGCAGGCTTCCTCGTTGCTGTCCAACTGTTGGTTCGTTGGTACAGCTGGCATGAAATGCGGCATGGGTAGCTGCGCCGCCTGCGCCACCGAGATAAGTCAAGGCAAATGATAGTCTGAGCCAATCGGGAAAGGACGTGACGTGTTCAAAGGAATCCATCTAGATCCTGGTAGATTATTGTGATGCGCGAAGCGCCTATGAAAGAATACCCTTCGGTCTTCTTATAGCGCAATCTTTACCGACCAATTTCTTCATTTTGTCACAACCATCACCCCACATCGTTTGCAATTTCATCTTTGTTTCTTCTTTCCTTCCTCATTAACCTCACAAAATGAATCATCTGGCAAGAGGAAATCGTCGGTACCATGGAAGAGGAAGAGGGAAATGGGGAGGTGGCGGAGCTCGGAGACCCGCCATACTTCCAACTTTAGCTCCACCGCTGGGCGAGATCCTCGCAACAATTCAACATGACGACCTTCAAGAACCCGAAAGTCAAGAAAATGATCCAGCGAGAATTACGAACAGTCATTATCTGACATCCTACAACTGGCTTAGCGGAGCAAACCGTGAGATCATCGTGCCAGGTGAGAACTCCCATACTACGGACAGACTACTGTTGATCACTAAAACATCTTGCAAGGTGAACCACCGGCGTGGACGCCTCTTTCTGATCCTCCTCAGCTTCGAGAAGATTCCGGCCAATATTATCGTGATCCAAACGCTGCGCGATTTCCCACCTACCCACTGGAACCGGCGATCCAAGCAATACTGACGGAGAAACCGGAGTTTCCCCTAAGTAGTGTGGATATAATCGGATGTGGAAGTACACTGGGCAATCTCTTACGCTTTGCACGTGGTCAGGCTCATCCTTTCAGGATGCTTGTTGAGGTAGTCGGCAACACCGTATTCTTCATCAGAAGGGAAAATTCGCCCACTGAAACCCTCGTTGATGTCCGGGGATACGGACATACATTTCCAGAGGCATACACTTCGTGGAGCATGAGTGTTCAAGGGTCTGAGTCCCATCAGCGGCTCGTCCATTATGATTTTTCCGGCATGAGCTGCTTAGTGCGCTTCGAGGTCGACGGTTTCCTACCTGACTTGATTCCGGAAGACTTGAAGATGCAGAAAGACCCCACTCCTGAGAACGGTGATGTCAATGCAGAAGACCTTGTGTCGCATATTCACGGGTTTATGATTTCGAGCGCGCACTCAGCCACCACGAATGCCGAAACAAAAGATCTCAAAATCTCGAACAAAGGTCGCCATATCCCACAATGTGGGGTCTTTGACTTGAAAACTCGTTCTGTCAAGAAAATCAATGTCAATACGATTGCTGAAGAGCTGCCGCGGTTGTGGATCAGGCAAATTCCCAACTTCGTTCTTGCATACCACACGTTCGGTAAATTCAATGACATTCGGATTCAGGACGTGCGCGAAGAATTGAAGCATTGGGAGGAACGTGAGCAGCCCGCTTTGGTCAAATTCGCCAGCTTGCTGCAAATGGTTGTCTCGTTTGCTCGTAGTTCAGATAATGGCAGGCTTGAAATTGAGCATGAGGAAGACGAGAAGGTCCTGAATCTGAGAGAACCGGGTGGAGTTGTCGACAGGGTCTTGCCCTCAGTTCTGACAAGCGAGTGGGGTTTCGGGAATAGTTCTGGGGAAACCCCTTAGCCGATTCGATGTATTTACATTTGATCTTGATAGAGGATCACCCGAATCAACTACTATATCTCGGCTTTGGCGGAGAGAGCTAGACCTCGCTCTGGTAAATAATAGGGAATGACACTCGTAAATCAATAGCTGGATTAAGGCGCTCCGCAATAGGCTTCACAATCAGTGAGCACAACTTCTCTTGCTTCCACTGGACGTCAACTAGAAAAATTGGCGAGCCATCTGAGTATTGAGGTTTTAAATGCAGCCCATAGGATGAATCTTCGCCCCCCCCCCTCCTTCCCGACCCGCAGGGTTTGGTTCCACTCACATCGCTGCGCGTTATTTCCTCGGTCGCAGTAGAGAGAAGACCCCCTCCCGGGAATAGGATACTCCACTTTTCTAAAATGGTTTATAGTGGAGATAGACCTATAAGGTGAGGCTTTCAGTTTGCCATCAAGCACCTTAGATCATCGGCAGGAGCGTCACACAAAGGTCACGTATTTAAAGATCGTTCGGTAGGCAAAGGCTTCCGACTCCAATTCAATGGACGCCTTGCCAAATTACCGCGTAGTTCCAATAGAATTGGTTCCTCTTACTTTGTAGGACAGTGAAATTTCTTATATTGGGTGCAATCAAATTGTGTGCCACTGTAGTTGAAGCGTGCAAAGTGCAGATATTACGTTAGACTGTGCTAAATTAATACACATCTTTCGGAAATAATGATTATTGCGGGGCACGGGGTACTTCAATCCGCACATAGAATACCAATACACTCAATTTTCCGAACTTCATTTATTCATTTGTAGTTGTTGACCGACTACTGAAAATCTCCCAAAGTGCGCTTTTCCTGTTTTGGTATTATGAACGGTTTGATGTTTTAATTCAATTAGGAAATAGATCTGTGCAGTCCCATGCGGGCGTGGAGCCACTTCTGCTCACTCTGCCCCAAAATAATTGGCTATTGAAAGAGACGTTGGAGTTCCTGCGAGCCTTTTGGGAACTTGAGGATCTCCTCCGGGGCCAGCATTTCCAAAGGAAAGAGATTCTGCCATCTCATATCCTCATAAAGGAGATACTCAAAGGCTGGCTTTGCTGCCGTGCTGATCTCCCGAAGCATATTTCCCTGCGATTCCTCGAGGATTTTCACAAAATTTTCGAATTCTTCATCCACCGGCGAAAGAATACTTGAATGGTCAGTCTATAATGCGACCATCTCAATTAGGGAGCAAAACGCACATTTTCTTGACAATTATTTGGCAGTCCACATCACCAGAGCGATCGAAATGAAGTAGGCCGACGATAGCATCTCCGAAGTGTGCTGCTAATATGTGTAGACGTTGTCCAAATTTTCGAATTTCCAAAACTTCTCGACGCTTCCTTCGGTAAATTAACGAGCCGGGTTCCAGGTCCGGAAAAATATTACCCATCATTCTGTTGACTACGATTGAAACTTCAATCTTCCGCGGATTGCCCCTTGTTCTTGTCTGGGTGATAGGCTCAGTATGTGATACTCGGATAATCGCAGCTTTCGAGGTGTGTTCAACAGATTCGCTGCTGCACCGATACAGATGCAATATATGATTCCATCGTAATATTTCAAGAAAAGTCTCGTTAGCTTGAATTTCACCGATGACTTCAAAGCGTTCGTTATTGGTGAGATCACGCGATACCCATCGTCGGCTGTGGCCGCTGAGCAGTTGGTCCCCCATTTTTCTTGTGTATTCAAGAGCCTCCCGAAGAGCAACAAGTGATTGAGAGCCACCCACATGAACCAAAAAAGTGCAGAGACTGCAAAACAATCCTTGATCCAAATTTAGCAGCTTTTCCTCAATTTTGGGGCTGAAGTAAGTGTCTTCTGGAGGTGGTAACCCCTGAGCAAGAGCCATTTCAGCTTCTTGACACAGTGATGATCTGAACTCGCCGCCAACACGCTTATTCTTTCTCTTTTGTATTTCCCCCCTGCAGTTGTTCTTTCGCTTGGCTAGGGAGTGGCGACTTGGGCACTGCTGAATGATGGCCTGGCCTAGGAAACTATCTGGCTGGCATACCTCATCACGAACCGTCTGAGCAACATCAACACTTTGAGGAAAAGCATAATGCTCAAATTGTTCAGACAGGTTTTCGACCTCATGGAGATTTACCAGATGTATCTCTCGATGCGCTAAAGGATGTGAGACATCGAGCACCTGTCTCGCCTCCACCGGTCGGCATGAGTCCACGAACAAGGGGGACTGCGAACGTGGGCTTGTGAAAGGGAGTCCGTCTGCAAATAATTCTTTGAGACCCCCTTGTTCGTTGTAAAAACTCTCAAAGTTGGATAACCCGCCCCAATCTGATAGCGGTGAAATCTCCGGGAATGGGGTAGGACCTTGGCCCGAGAAATCGACGTCGCCATCTTGGGCAGGGCCGCTTCCCGCTAACGAGGGACTAGGCCGCGAATCGCTCTGCTCATCCTTGAATAGTTCCATTAAGTTGAGCTTATCACGGTGCTTATCCAGGATACTGCTTGCTATTAGAGATCGCATTATGTTTAGAGTTATTAGAGCAGACACACCCGAGAGCATAAAGGCCCCTGGCCACAGATTTGAAGCAATGTGTTCTGAGGTATATTGCTCCAATAAGCGCACTTGTAGCCAAGGCAAGAACCCCGGACGAGCGTCCACCAGGCCGAGGATCGAACCTCAGGTGCATGTCAATGCCAGTACGCTTTGCTATTTCTGCACGGTGCTGAGTAGCGTTAATACGAAATTTAAGTTTTGATGTAAAGTCTCGATGGTATCAGCTCTGCAGGTCACATAATGGATTGAGAATATTCACCGCGAGATAACGCCATCAAAGCACCGCTGAAATCAATCAGGAATCCGGCCGCTCCCAAGCCCAGCTGGGCTAGTTTTCTATTTCCATCCGGCGCGAGTTCATCTGCTCCAGCCGCGGTGAGCGCAATGTGAATTTCCGATTCCGATAACTCTTGACACCCGACCAGCCTTCGGATGAACTCCACAGAGGCTTCGCTCATGCCTAATATGAGGAGAAGAAAAAAATGATAATGATATATCAGATCCCACGAGTATGAACCTAGAAAAAGCCCGCTCTCGACATGAGCCGTTACAGCTATTTATAATGAAAACCTATACTAGCGAGGGAAAGAGTGGCGCCTGGGGAGGCCGTGTGTCTGATTGACTGGTCGTTTTCTGGCATACGAGTGCACACAACCACGTCACATAATCTGATTGGTGTTCAGGAGAGGAATTCTGACAACGTAAATGTGTATCCGACACATCAAATGCATCGTTGCACACATGTCACAAGAGGCCCATTTCGACAGTTTGGAAATCGCTCAATTTTCCAAGTATATGAGTCAAGGTTAAATGGGTGTTATTCCCAGCAGTATATGGCATCACATCACCCTAGTCAATATCCATTAGGCTTGCCGACCTCTATCCCCAACATGACAGTTTCCGGCCACACAGCTGGAAATTATTCGTACGCAGGATTTAATTCGTGCAGGTAAAATCGCATGAGGAGTATACATATTAAGGATGATAATAACTATTGGTTTCTGGTTTTAGTCTAGTGTAAGCATCGTACTCCGTTTTAGTTATCAATTATAAAGCGTATGCATTACTTTTATGCTAGGAAGGTAAACTTATCGCTCTCACACTTCCTGTAACATTTGGCAAGTCATTTAAAGAAGAGTCCATTCAACGAATATATCGAATCTGTAAAAGGAAAAAGAAGAGAACGAAAAAGAGACATGAGCTCTTTTTTTACTACTACACGCCGGAACCTTCCATATCGGAGCTTTCCATATCTTCCAATCGTTACAATTACCACGATCCTGTTCGATTTCCTATCCATGAGTCTGAAATTGCAACATATCTCTTGGACCAGATTATTGTCCTTGCACAATCTATGATCAGTTGGATTTTGCATAGCTAGTCCGCTAGCTACAACCGAAAGCTCGGATAAAGCCCGTTCATCGACTTGGATGCCCCAGCGACCATAGGTTTCCTTGTTGGATACAACCCCGAAGAGAGGCTTAAATCAATTATAAGGAGACAGGTGCAGACTGTCCTTCTGGGCATAGGAGGTATCATAACGATCAAGAACGTGGAAATCAGCACAAGAGGGAAATCTTGAAATCCGCGTAACCGGGGGTACGCGTGGCAAAGAATCTGATTGGAGATGCACGTGCTTATTGAGGAAACATTGAATTGGCTCTGAACATCACCTCCCTTGGTGCAGGAGTTGTTACAGATTGTTGGCCTGCAAAAACCGCTCTCAGCAATTCCCGGGGGGAGTGGCCTTGGTGGCGCAGGAGTCGACAGTAGAAGGGCGTATCCCCTTTAGTGATGTACTCGCAATATTGAAAGGGACGAATATGTATGTGGGAGCAGTTAGCTGTAGCTTGCCAAGAGGCGAAGGACTATTGAGCTCCGAAGAAGTTCCAGGGGGCACATAATGAGACCGCAGTCCTTATTTACGTATTCCTTTCATATGATGTGACCGTTTGTTTGCTTGAGGAACCCAGACACGGAAGAAACCAAGGTACAGATGACCTTAAGAAGGACTAGAAGGTATAGTCCTATAGATGGGGACGGTCCTAAAGCCCTTGTTAATTGCCGTAGTCAGCCGCTCGGCAAATGTAGCGGGAAGCTGCCAGTGAAAAAGGTGGGGGATGATGCCATCGGGGTCCCGGATGGCGATCGGCGCGGCCCCTGCACGTATCCGATCTATAGTTACTTCCATTGTCATTATTAATGACTTGCGGATTATACATGTCCGTGGATCGGAATTTCAGGGTTGCAACATGATACAATGCATAAATATAAGGTTAGATGGACTTCCTGGTCAGCATTACTTCTGATAAATGCATACACTAACATTGCATTTTGTTTCTCCAGGCATTCGAGCACAAGTCGCGTGGAGTGGACCCGCCCTACCGGAATGGCGTGCTTTAAGATCGCGATGAGCGATGAGAACACAGACCGTCCATCATTGTGGTAAAAGCTTCGCTTAGACTGGCCAGACTGCGTATCACAAAGCGGAATTGCCGGAGAATAATGCAATGGCTCGCCAGAATACCCCGGTCAAGGATCATCAAGGCCGAGAACCCGTCGAGATAAGAATGCGGACTTATTTGACCTGAACTGCAAACGTAGCTAATTCTCCCTCTCTTTCTCTATGTTTGGTTCCCTTCTCCTTGTGGCCAATCTTTTTTGGCGATTGTTCGATTGATGATTGTGCATTCAAAGCGCATAATGGCCGCGAATTGCAACTATGGCACCGAGGACGCCCTGCCAGACGGGCTCATCAAGTCCACCCCAGTCGCAAATGAATGCGACACGATACGGGACGAGGAACGGCCGCTGCTTCCACAGTCTAATTCCGCGGAGAGTAACGGGAAGGCCCTGACAGGCGTGGCAACCATTATAGCTGTGCTGTTGCTCGGTAGGATGACTCGGACCACCAAGCTATGCACACACTAACACGGAATATAATGTAGGCGAATTCATTTCCAACGCCGACACGACGCTTGTCATGGCCGCCGCTGGCCACATATCCTCCGAATTCAATCGATTACGCGATGCAAGTTGGCTCTCTACAGGATATACACTTGGTCTCTGCGCCGTGCAGCCGATGGTAAGTGCCGCGGCTCTCTGCCATGCCAATGTGGCACTGACCTGGGCTAGTACGGGAAGCTGAGCGACATCTACGGTCGCAAACCGCTTCTGTTAATATCGTATTTCTTGTTCGCAGTTGGCTGCATTATTAGGTATTGAGCCAATAATCCTTCGAATTGAAAAGCGGTCCTGACTGGTTTAGTTGCATTGGGTCACAGATGTGGGTGGTGGTTCTCGGCCGTGCGATCAGTGGAATGGGTGGCGGCGGTTGCATGACGATCAGCTCGGTGATCATCACTGGTAAGAAAGAGTCGGAGAATTCTTGAGTCAAGCTTAGCTAACCGGCGTTAGATATTGTTCCCAGACGCGAAGTCGCGACATGGCGAGCCTATGTCAATATCTCCATGACGCTTGGCCGCAGCGTTGGCGGTCCCTTGGGCGGGTGGCTGAGTGACACTATCGGTTGGCGATGGTATTTGACGTCTTCAGCCTCAAATCTTGTTGGATTGACGTGCTAAAGAGTTGTTAGGCTGTTTCTCCTCCAAGCTCCATTGTTCGCCCTCGCTGCTTTCCTGGTGGTCCTGAAGCTCCAGGTTGCCCAGCCTAAAATCGCGGCACAGGCCGGCTCTGTATCACAGCTTCGCCAAATCGACTTTTTAGGAACCGCTCTCCTCGGGGCATCGATCGTCGCCATTATTGGGCTCATGGACCAGGGAGGCAAGTCGTTCCCTTGGCGATCGTGGGTATCTGCGGTCATCGGTGGTGGTGGACTCTTGCTGCTTGTCGCATTTGTCCTCGTAGAAGCCTATCTTGCCAAGGAGCCCGTTTTCAACTTGCGTATTTTGCGCAGACCCAATGTGGCGGTCAGCTATCTGATTGGAACACTACAGATTACGGCACAGCTGGGCATGCAGTTCTCGATCCCTCTGTACTTTCAAGTCACGCAGCGTGCCTCGGTTACAGTCGCGGGCGGCCACTTGGTTCCTGCAGTGATTGGTAACACGCTAGGCGGACTTCTTGCTGGCGGGTTCATTCGCCGTACTGGGCACTACAAGATCTTGCTTATTCTGGCTGGTTTAGTGGCATCAACCTCATACGTGCTGCTGTACCTGTGTTGGAATGGGAATACCGGGTTCTGGGAGTCGTTATACGTCATTCCTGGAGGCATGGGGACAGGCATCTCGTCAGCGGCGGCATTCATTGCCATGTCTGCTTCACTACCTCCAGAAGAGGTGGCTATGGCTACCTCCGGCTATATGCTGCTAGTCAGCTTCGCCATGACGGCGGGTGTCACGACATCCAATAGTGTTCTGGGACTCGAGTTCTATCGGCAGCTTCGCCGTAACCTTCGCGGACCCGGCTCAGAAACAGTAAGTTGTCTCGGATGGACTCATGCGTTGGGCACTATTAACAGCCGGCGCAGGTCATCAAACGCGCTATGGCCGACACCAACTACATCTCCCAGCTCACCGGCCGCCTCGGAGATATTGTGGTTCAGTGTTACCTTTCGGGACTCAATAGCACATACCGTAAGTCCATTCCATCACAAGATTCTAGCTCTTGGTGCCCCGCTTACGCATTTCAGTGGTCTCGCTTGCTTGTTCCCTGGTTGCTGCATTCCTGGGATCGTTCATTCGACATCACCAATTATAGAGGTGGATTGTTCACAGCCCCTCTGACTGAGGATATTTTCCTTCACATGTCCGTATCTGCTAGGAAGGCTATATATACCACTATAAAAGTGCTTGTCGAGTCATACCACGTAGGGGCGCATCGCATATATGACTTTACTCCCATAAATACATCGTAGGTTAAAAAGGTTCTGATCATCCCGAATCACCGTTACCAATCATCTCTCATCGAGATCCCGCAACAGCATGCACTGTTCCAGCAAGCTTCTGTGCCTCGATTTACTTCCAGGTATCGCTCTCTGTCACAGCAGTCGTCGCACAAGCCGCAGGAACAGTGTACGAGCGGTTCGGGTCACTTTCCCATTCGATGGTTCCATCGCTCTCGACTCGGATGTACTTGTACTCGAAGGAAGTACCAGCAGGTAAGCTGATGGTCACAAACCAGAGATTGTTGGTCGACGTATATTGGGAGGCGCTCAGCGCAACTGCATCGCTAGTATCCCAGCTGCCCAGTTGGCTGATAGAACCTGCGATCTTGATGTTCTCGCCGTATGTGGTTGTCGCAATAAGGTCAAATGTCACCGCCACAGCAGTTGGAGTGGTACAGGACGTAGTCGAGGTAGTCGAAGTGGACTTAGATGTAGTCGTGGTAGCACCAGTTGTAGTGGTCGTCCCAGACCCGCTAGTCAAAGTAGCCGGCCAGGATGTGGAGGTCGCAGTGCTGTAGGTACCCGTGGCGGATGTTGAGCTGCACGTTGCCGGGACGCTGCTAGCGGAGGTCTCCCCCAGGCTGCAGGGACAATGGAATTGCGTCGATTATTTGCAGACAAGAGGGCCGCATAAGACCAGGTTAAGTCACGCGCCGAGAGGGGTGAGCCATCGGACTTGGAGAATTGCTCCGACATGGATCCATTGCTCATGGCATACTCTTCCTATACCGCTATGAGTATGCGACTCTGGAATGAAGGGTACCCCGCTCTTCTACTTACCACAATGCTCATGTATCCATCGGCATAAGACTTGACCGCGCTGACAATCGTGGAGTAAGTTGCGCTGGATGAGGAATACGTTCCAGTAGCCGCGGAGCTGTAGAGGTCCTGGAAGAAAGCCAAAGAGACGGAGTTGATGGTCAGGGAACCAATCTGGTTCCACTGATACAGCGCATCGTATAAAAGCTCCGCAGCAGCCATTGTGCATAGATACCAGGGGTTACCATTATAGTATGAGTCCTCGGGGTACCGCCCGACCGCAACAGCGACACCTGACGAAATGCCACTGTTGATGGTGTAGACAGAGCGGAAGGAATCGGTGACTACCTTGTGATTGGCCAATGCCCGAGCTGAGCAGGGTTGGAAGGTCGTGTCATCACAACTAGCCTCTGGATCGAATGTGTGAATAGTCCCCAAGAGCGTGTTGGCATCTTTTCCGGTCCGGCTGCTGCCAAAGTTGGCCAGGGTGTATGTTCCAGTCCAGAATGATTGCAGGAAGCAGAGAACCTGAGGTGCTTGCAAGTCGCAGAATGAGCAGGAAGAGCCCACTTGGCTCGCAAATTTACTTCCTTCAACCAAGGCCCGGTGCTGAACTGCAGTAGTGAAAAATGACTCGCCACTGACTTCTTCCCAGAGATCTATTCATCCAGAGGTTACTAAATAGAAATCACCGGGGTTCTGGAACTGAACACTGACCGTATCCCGAGCTATTCCAGTACTGAGTCACATAGGAAAGGTCGTTGCGCACAATGGGCCACACAATATTGGTTGCTTGGGTAGTATAACCGTTGTCCTGAATGAGCTTCTGTTAGCTTTGTGTAACTTCATATCGACCGCACAACGTACAATCAACCACTGGCCAAAGGCGATCAGCGCAGTAGCTCGAAGAGCAGGTCCATCACGCTGAGGACGCCCCCAAGAGCCGGTGTAGGCAGTCTCGTCGACATAGAACTTGGGCTCACCCAATCCGCCGGTCGAGAGCGTGCCCGACGGGTTGGAAACAGTCTGGATATACGCCTGAGAGCTGATGTACTCTTCGATCACACCTAGTAGGTCGGTGTCGCCGTTTTTGAACTGGTCGATCAAGACCTTCATTGTCAAGGCCGAGTCGCGCGTCCAGGTATAGTAGTCTGTCAAGTTAGTTTCGTCGGTTCGCGGGTTCGTCTATAAGGTGTCACTTACAATCGGGACTGCTGGTGCTAGGACTTGCAATGATAATGCCAGGGTCTGCACTCGCAGCATAAGCACCACTGGAGCCGATGTTATCAAGAATACCCTGTCGCGCAACTGATGTCTCTGATGCCAGCCAGGTATCCAGGCTGGCGGTCGCGCGAGGCTCCAGCTGTGGTGCTGCTATGACCGCGTGGCCCAGGGCCAGCGCACACAGCGTAGTCCAGAAATGAGACGCCATGAGTAAATATGATTTACCTTGTGTGGACGTTCTTCATGAGCGCGCTTGCAGCCTTTTATGTCTCCGCAGGCCGCCTTGCCGAATCTCGGTTCTGCTGTCGAACTGGAGATTGCAGGGGGCTTCGACAACCGGGAGTGGAAAAACACAGCAATGAGATCGACCGGCCTTAGCGAGAACGGGCACTAGTCGTGACTTGCTTTTTTGAGCTTTTTGCTTTTTACATCGTTCTCAGGCGCCGGCTGGCAAATGATTTGTTTCGTCCGGTGGGATTTGACGCATGCAACAATTAAGTCCTTCACGATCGACAGACCAATCTTACTGCCTTTATGCTCCCCGCTACGGTCTCCTCGTAGTGATAGCCTTTCTGAGCTCCGCAAATCTCAAGAACGTGCTCATCATATGCTTCTCTGCCATCGGTACCATGTCTGCTTCCTCCTATCTATCCAGCACGCTTGAGGCGATAGCGCTGCCTAGTGTCGACACAACTGCTCAGACCACTGCAGTTAGCTCCTTGCATGTCCGGCGAACCCCGCAGATTCCCCGTCCCCTGTCTGCTGCCCCGGACCGTCTGGCGATCTGGCCACCAATCAGTGTCGCGGGAGTTCCCCGTTCCTGGCACGGTCGGCTTCGCCTAAGAAGGAGGCGTTTTGGCAGCAAATGCGATCTGCATGTGAACCTGCCATGACTTGCATCTTCCGCAGTCAACAGCCGACATTCTGCGTGGTGAAACGTGGAGCCGTGAAGAATCTCGATCCACCCCGCCGACGGGGCCCCGGAGGATCTACTGAATCCGGACTGGCGCTGTCGACTACTGTCCACTAGTGTCGACTCTCGGAGTTGGGTCGGCTTTTGATGACCACATTATTCGCCTTCCATTTGACGGAAATGCAAGCTTATGCGGTCCGGATTGTGCCGTGTTCACCATGCGCCACTTTATGAACATTGTCGAGTCGTGTGGAAAGCCTCCAGAACAAACTTGAAACAATTCACCGTGGGGTTGGACATCCTACTTGGAGCTGAATCCATTGGCCATCAGGTCCGATGGATGTGGCTCAAGCTCGCGTGGAGGTTCTAAGCCGGAGATTAAGCCTGCAAGCGAGCCGTAGGGGCTTTTCATAGATGTGACGAATCCATTTATAAACCTCAGGATAGTTTGCCTGCTTTGATTGAATTTTGCATAGGCAATCTATTACTGCCAGAATTGTACGATTCACACAAAATTGAATAGCAGTCGTCATGAACAGCCGTCTTGTATTGGCGGCCGCGGTGTTCCTTGCGGAGGCCGTCGCCGGTCTGACACCTGCTGAATGGCGCAGTCAGTCGATATACTTTCTTCTGACCGATCGCTTTGGGCGTGAAGACAACTCTACTACAGCCGCATGCGCCGTGAGCGACCGGGTATGGATCATTCACTTCATCGGGATGTTTCGGGCTTTCCTTATTGACGACGACAGAATTATTGCGGTGGTAGTTGGCAAGGCATTATCAACCATGTATGTTGGCTCTTTCTCCTCGCTGGTATCCATGCATATTTCATGCACTGCTAAGTTCTGCGCCAGCTGGACTATATCCAAGACATGGGTTTTACTGCCATTTGGATCACGCCAGTCACAGAACAGCTCTCTGGAGACACTGGGGACGGCGAAGCGTATCATGGTTACTGGCAACAGAAGATGTCCGTCCTTTTGTGCGCCCGAACTACCCTGAAACTAACACATTGATGCATGTAGATACGACGTGAACACAAATTATGGCACTGCTGCTGATCTTCTAGCGCTCTCTAATGCTCTGCATAATCGGGGGATGTATCTCATGGTAGATGTGGTGGCAAACCACATGGTAGGTATTCTCCACATTATTTGCAATAAAAATTCTCATTATGGAGTACAGGGATATAATGGGGCTGGAAATACTGTTGATTACAGTGTCTTCAACCCATTTGACTCTTCGACTGACTTCCATTCATACTGTCTGATCAGTGACTACTCCAATCAGACAAATGTGGAGGACTGTTGGCTAGGTGACACTACTGTCTCCCTTCCGGATCTCAACACGGCACTTGCTTCTGTACAGACCATCTGGTATAACTGGGTGGCTGACCTGGTATCTAATTACTCCAGTATGCAATTCTCGTTGAAATAATTCACAGGTGCTTGATAGAGACTAACGGGTCGTGATATAGTTGATGGCCTGCGTATCGACACGGTCAAGCACGTCCAGGAGTCATTCTGGCCGGGCTATAACAGTGCAGCGGGTGTCTACTGTGTAGGGGAGGTCTTTGATGGCGACCCCTCTTACACATGCCAGTATCAAAGTTATCTTGACGGTGTTCTAAATTATCCCATGTATGTTGTTCGTGGAATGTCCAAACTTTGGCTAATAAATCATAGCTATTACCAACTGCTGTACGCATTTGAGTCTTCTAGTGGCAGCATTAGCGACCTATACAACATGATTAACTCTGTTGCTTCGGATTGTTCTGATCCAACCTTGCTCGGAAATTTCATCGAGAACCATGACAACCCACGCTTTGCTTAGTACGTTTGTTTCCCTAGTACATGAATTCAAAATCTGGTACTGACGATTCAGCTACACGGATGACTACTCTCAAGCAAAGAATGTTATATCGTTTCTCTTCTTTTCTGATGGTATTCCTATTATCTACGCCGGTCAGGAGCAACATTATAGTGGTGGTAGCGACCCTGCTAACCGGGAAGCAACTTGGTTGTCTGGATATGACACAACCGCCGAGCTTTACGAATACATAACCTCCACAAACAAGATCCGCAGTCTAGCGATGTTATCGGACACTTCCTACCTTACGTCCAAGGTATGCTTAGATGAATTACTTGTCTAGGGAGCACGCTAACACATGTGCAGAATGACGCTTTCTACACTGATAGCAATACCATAGCGATGAAGAAAGGATCCAGCGGCGAGCAAGTTGTTACGGTCCTTTCCAACTACGGATCCTCGGGCAGCTCGTATACCTTAACTCTGAGCGGAAGTGGCTATTCTTCCGGCACCCAGCTAATGGAGATGTACACCTGTACTTCGGTTACCGTGGATTCCAGTGGAAATATCGCCGTACCAATGGCGTCTGGGCTACCCCGAGTTTATATGCTGGCCTCCTCGGCAAGCTCACTTTGTGGTTCTTCTAGTTCGACGACAACCTCGGCATCGTCGAAGACCGCAACTGCCACAGTCGCATCCACCTTAACCACTACTACCTCCACCAGCACAAGTTGTACACAGGCCACTGTTCTACCTGTCTTGTTTGAAGAGATTGTGACCACTTCCTATGGACAGGACATCTACATTTCAGGCTCGATCAGTGAATTGGGTAGCTGGGATGTGGATAATGCTGTCGCCCTCTCTGCAGACGAATATACCTCGTCCAATAATTTGTGGTATGTTGTCGTGACGATCCCAGTGGGAACCTCCTTCCAATACAAATTCATCGAGAAGACGGACGGATCAACCTCCGTAACATGGGAGAGCGATCCGAATCGTTCGTATACGGTGCCAAGCGGCTGCTCAGGGTCAACAGCGACCGTAGCAGCGACATGGAGGTAGTTTATTTTGAAGCAACAGAGGCCTGGGGGCTTGAATATATTGAGCTCGTATATCATTTTTACATTCCAGTATAGACATTGTAAAGGCATCATTCAGAGTGTTAGGGGTCCCCAGTCCAACCTCTTTCCATAAATACCTCTCAAATGTGGAATGACGCGACATTTGCTAAGATGAAGTCAAAGGTGTCCTGACGGAAGTCATCCGCAAGCAAAGCTGCACGGTTATTGAAGAAATTCATCAGGGTTTGATTCGCGCTCCATTGGGGCCAATCCATGTAGCTCGACGCCCGAGAGTTTGGATCCAAGTCATAGACGAATGAGAAGTAGTATGAATGGATGGATCTGGATGCATAGTTTGGCAAGAGGCCATAAAAGACTTGCAGAAGGTCTGAGCCGTGGAATGTGCCGAGAATGGGTGTCCCGTAGTCATATGAGGACAGGTATGACCAGAACGGCACATCAGGCTTCACCTTTTGCGCCAGTGTGAGAAAGGCGCGTCGGGTGATCGTAAATGTTAGATCGCCCAGTATTGCCGCAAGGCGTTTATACTGCGGGTACCAATTATTAAAGATGCTGGTTCGGAACGGGGAACCATCGGTGGTGGTATCAGGATAGGTTGCAACCAATTCCTCAAGCTGCGCGCGCGAAGCATCTGCAAAGAACAGATCCTGGAGATAGTCCACGATTTGATCCGTAGTGCTAATATTTGACTGGAACAAAGCGAAGATTGTCCCCTCGTCCTCTTGGTCACCGACGATGAAAGGCACGGAGGCGTATTTTCCATTCATCACCAAATTTTCAGGCGAGTCAGTGAGAACCGTCCCATCTGGTCGAGGCAAATAAGACAATGCGACAGAGTGATACGACAGAAGACCAGGCACCGAGTTTGCGGCATTCAAAAATGTTGTATAATCCAGCCCGCGCAAGCACTCCAGGGTATCTGTTGCACTGCCACAGCCGGCGGATTCCACCACAGTATCGTAAATCGCTTGGCCTTTGGCCCCATCCACCCTGTCCGCCGGCACTACATTACCCGAGTTCATAATTCCAGCCCGGAAGAGGGGTGATCCGTTGTATGTGTGGTCGCCATCATACAAAGCCATCTGGTCAAAGACGGATATGGAACCGGCGGATTCACCCCAAATGGTCACCTTAGAGGGATCACCACCAAAACCCTTGATATTATCCGCGATCCATTCCAAAGCAAGACGTTGGTCAAGAAGGCCCAAGTTGGCGGACCCGTCTTTGAGAATCTCCGATCCGGGCATGAATCCAAAGCCACCCACACGATAGTTAATGGCCACAAATACTATCGGCATGTTCAATTCCATCGAGGCGGACACCAAGCCTGACCCATCATACATGCTGGATGACCCTAGCTCGAAGCCTCCACCAAAGATCCAGACCAGAACGGGAAGATCGGCACCCGCTTCTGTCCCTGATGGACGCTGGACGCTAACACTCAAACAGTCTTCACCGGCATTGGTAACTGTTTGAAATAGTGGGATATTGATCAGCTCCCCCAGTACTGAGACCGGGAAGTCGCTAGTATCGGTGGTAAAGTAAAACTGGGGGCATGCTTTGGCGGAGCCAGTGGCTTGGACTGTCCCCAGGGAGGTTTGAATTGCCTGGGGGGTCTCAGACGAAGAGAACCTGTGGGCGCCTGAGCAAAGGGTATTCCATTGAAGCTGTCGACACTGTTGGACCCAGATGAGCCAACAATTGTAGCTTCGGGTTGCGAGATGGTCACCGTTGGTGCGCTGGCTCTCTTGACGTTGGCCGGCGCGGCCAATATAACCGGCACAGCGGCCAGGAGCACGAGCTGCAGCAAGGGGAACATGGTTATTGCCTTCCAACTACAAGACAGTAGCTGATTTGGGTTGCAGTCGTGACTTTTGTCCGTGTTCTCGCAGCCCTCTCCCCTTTGGGAGGCGGCAAAGGGGCGGCTTTATACCATTCCCACAGTACCAGCGGCCCCCAAAATTGAGGCATCTTCGAGATTCACGAGATGGGTCAAACATGTGGTTCCTCGGTTGACGCTTGACGATTGCCTGGGAGCTGTCATGTTGATCGTCTATTCCTTTCCTTACCCCGCCGCGGGGAAACAGGAAACTCAATCAAAGTACCTTGGCTGAAAGAGGAATATTCCCCGGGTTCCTGGTCATGTGGAGCGCCAAGCGGCCCTCGTCCACGTTCTGCAACGTTCGAGCAGTCGGGCCTTGGCCCTCATAAAGCGCGCTGCGAGATTTGTGGTTGGAGGGTGAGTGATGCCCACGGAAGCCCGGTGCATTTCGGGTTCGGCCGCGAGAGAGCGGCGGTTGCAGAACGGCGGTTGCACACGCCTAGAAGGATCTCGTGCCGGTCTGCTGACCTGAAATCAAGGAGTGTATTCCGTGCGGATCCTGCGCAGCACGATGGCACCAGTGGCGCTGGGCGAATCGCGGGGGAGAGTGGGGAACATACGGGCACATCCCTGCCCTTTTGAAAGAAACGGTGGAGCTGCCGAGCGTCCGGGTGGAGTCAGCCCAAATCTGGGGTTCGAACAGGCCCTACTCGGAAGACAAGATACTTCAGTCTGTACAGGCTGGGCAGCGGGGGTTGCTGGCGAAGAGGTAATTGGATGTTGCCCCTGTGTGCCTGACAGCAGACTACGTTCCCAGTGACCGCCAGAATGGAGAACTCACGAGACGCAGTGAACCTCGATCTATGAAGACTACAGTCGAGACTACACTCGATCGGATCCTTGGGTTGCCCTGTTTTCTATCATCTGTCGCGGGACCCCTGGATGTGTATTATCGCAGCCGGATCCAAGGGCTTGAATGCCCTTGCCAATGCCAAAGAAATATCTCGCTGCACGCCGTCTCGACCAATGCGACCCTACGTGCCGGCCAAGGTCCTTCGGTGCCAACGGTCGCGAAGCATTCCGGAACTCAAATCCCTTAGTCTCTGGAGCTAACGACGACTTTTCTCACTCCGTCTTAACATTGTTCAAACTATGCAGTTCTTCATGTGATGATGTGGTAGCCAATCTATCTACGCCAATAACGCCGATGCAAATGCAAGACACACATCCAGCCCGCCCCTGCTACTCCCCCGGCTTCAGCGATCTGCATGTTGCCAACCGTCCCACCTCTCGAAGTCGCCCGTGTCCAACCCGAAGAGGTCCAGCATACGCCCCACGCTTTGGTCGACCAGCTCATCCACGGAAGCGGCACGGATATAGTACGCCGGTACGGGTGGGAAGATAACGGCGCCAGCGCGAGATACTTCCAGCATATTGCGCAGATGGATCTCGCTCAGTGGCGTCTCTCGAGCAACCAAAACGAGTCGCTGCCGCTCTTTGAGCATGACATCCGCTGTGCGAGAGATGAGGTCGTCGCAAAATCCACTGTGGATGGCTGCGAGGGTTTTCATGCTGCATGGGACGACGATCATCCCATCGGCTTTGAAAGAGCCGCTTGAGATGGGGGCCGCCATATCGTTGATAGAGTGGGTATGGTCCGCGAGGGCCTTGACATTAGACGGGTGGTAGTCCGTTTCGTATTTGATAGTCGCCTCGGCCCATTTGCTCATCACGAGATGGGTTTCAACATTCAACCGACGCAGGGCAATGAGACACTTGATACCCAGGATCGCCCCGGTTGCTCCGGTCATGGCCACCACGATCCGTTTGCGACTCGGTGTGGGCGCTGGCTGCATGGGCGCACGGTGTTCAGGCTTCTCAATAGACATTGTTCTCTCGGCCTGGCTGCCACCGGGAGAAGAGCGACCAGAATGAGGTGTGTGGGTACTGGAGAGTAGAGACAGCATGGATGGTTCGTAGCTGAAAAATAAGTCTGGTCTGGCGTTGGCGATTCCTAACCGCTCCAGAACGTGCAAGGAGACGGGTGATGTCGTTGGTGCGATGGTTTACCCGGGCGATAGAGATGGTTGATTCTTATATATCCATAAAGTGGCGCGACCGAGGTTACAAGAACTTATTCGTCTATGGGAAAATTCTCACTGCATCCCGAACAACCGGCAAACTATTTTGATCGGCCCGATTCTGGTGAAACGAAAGGGGCCCTCCGAGGTTCCGAGTCCCCGAGATTCCGACCCCGAGACTCCGAGAACCACACAAAGTTTGGTCGGCCCATCAGGTCTTCAGAGGAAGCGGCTCCACTGAAGTCGACCAGCAAGCTAAAGCAATCTGACGATCGGAGCCAGACCAGACAGGTATATGAGTCTCTCGCAATTCTCACTTGACTCCTCTTCTGATGCTAGTCCCGACGTGGGCGAGATCTTCCGGTTTACAATTGTTTCATCTACACTTTCAGGACCGACATTGGCTGCAATGAGTGCTCACTGGTGGGATTACATGACCGCGTTAACTTGCTTCGACCAAATGAGGCTTCTATTAGTTTGTTGATTGGACTGCATTGTTCCTTGATCCCATAATCTAGTAGCTCCAAGCAAGGTAACAACTAGGCTCAGTCTCTGTGACATTACCAACCGTGCCCGTACGACATACAAAGCCATCGCAAATTTCTACCAGTCAGGAGATATCAGGAGCGAGTAATGGAGGTGAGACCGACAAGGAATGGCAGCAGGGCCAATATCATGAAGATGCATTTGAAGCTAGTCAGGACCACCACTTCTACTGGCCACCGGAAAATGACGAGGGAGTTAATATCTGGGACCCGAAATCTGGATGGACAGAAGAGGAGAAATACTGTTGGAAGAGTACGCAAATTCCTTCATCGCGAAAGCTAATCGATAGCTCTTGTAGTTGCGATAGATTGATGCTCGCGTCTATACATTTGCATGTGCGATGTTCTTTGCATTGTAGCTTGATCGAATAAGCATTGGCCAAGTACCAGTAAATACACTTTGGAAATATCTAAAGATGACCACAGATAACTAGAATTTGGGCCAACTATCTTCCTGTATGCTTTTCAGTCGGCGAGCTGCTCCAGTCATTCTCTAAAGACTGGTCCCCGATCTTACTATTCCACTCAAATGTTTATATGAGCATTGCGACTCGGGCTTTAGATTTCATGGAGCAAAATATGGGACAAATGTACTTTTGTCGAACTCTACTCACGAGAGTGTTTACCGCGTCAGGCTCGGCGGGATGTTGTACTATGTCATCAGTGGGGAGAATGATGGACACTCTTCTTAAAAACATTATTCTAATGATGACAGGAAAGTGCACAGACTACAAAAGTTTCGTAGTCTAGGCTATTCAATGTATCCCAATAACACCGTAGTTTGCGACAACTAGGATTTATTTCGATATCGTAGACATCTCGGTACCCATATCTCTCTAACAACCTCGAATGTTTCGTCATCGATTTGCCGTAGTCAAGCTTTCGATTTATCTTCATCTGGGACGTAAGGTGTTTCGTAAGGACGCTCGGCCTGTGGGGTGATACGTGCCAAATGGCGACGCTCCCCTGTCGTCCAGTCAATAATTGCAGAGTGGGCAGTCACGCGATTCTTATTATTTGTCAGTCTCTAAACCCTCCATTCAAGTAACCCAGATTTGCACTTACATCCCAAACAACAACTGTCTTCGGGGCCCATCGAATTCGAGCCTGGTAGTCAATACCGCGGCCGATATGAGCCAATAGAAAGCTTAGAAGAGCATCGCTTTCTTCTGTTTTGAGCCCAACGATGCTGCGAGTGACTTTCTTTGGAGTTAGCTATGGTATATGTGACCATATAAGAGAGAACACTTACAACCACTGTTGACAAAAAGAGCCTTCTCACCCGTCACCGGATGAGTACGGACAATGGGATGCTCATTCTTCACCGGCTCTCGTCTATCAACTCCTCCACGTTTAAGACTGTTTTCAGCCTGCTCAAAACCAGAGTGCACGGCTTTGAGACCATGCAGCCGCTCTTTTATCGCCGGTGAAAGCCGCCTATAGGCCTCAACCTGGTCCACAAAAGCAGTATCGCCGCCCACTTCGGGTCCATCCAGAAGGTACAAAAACGTTGTGCCAGGTGGTTGCTGCTCATAAGTCACATCTGAGTGCCAGGAAACACTACTATTCTTGGCGGCGAGATATTGATCATACTCCCACGCATTATTATTCCGGTAAACAAGGTGAACCTCGGGGTATCCTTCCGGAGCCCCACTGGTGGGATGAATATGATGCCGGCCAAAGTAGCCTCCGAAATCGAGGGCTTCTTGGATGGGTAAGTCGGCAAAGTCCTGATCTCTAAAGACAACAACCTTGCGCTGGGCAACCAGGAGAGCAAGCTGGTCTTTTGCGGCGGGAGTAAGTCTGCTCAGCTGGACTCCTGTGACTTCAGATCCGATAGTCGGAGTGAGCTTCTGAATCTTAGACCCTTCCGTGAGAAGATCTTCGAAGGAGGGATTGGCGTCCTTGCCACGATCAATGTGTGTGAAAGGTTCGAGGGGGGAAAACTGTTCGCCATAATCCCAGACGGGTAGATATTTTGGGTACTAGTCACATAGTGATTCATGTTAGATGGCCGTGACGGGGATAACGAGAATATTCACGACATACGCTAGCAGTAGTCTCTCGCCCTTCCTCATCGATGATTCGCCTTATTTTAGGCTTGCTTATGCTTGTTTGGAGGTCGGCCTTGACTGGAACAATGATCTCTGCGGTGGAAGCTTCAGTGGTAGATGGTGCCATATTGCGGGTTTGAGTAATGTATGGATAGATCCTTTGCTTGATCAAGTTGCAGAAGCTTTTGTCCCATGATATCTGTAATGAAGACTGCTTTAAATATATTTTCTTCCCTCAAGCCACTCTTCGCATCATTATCACCCGAAATCGCGTGGCACCTTCTTCACGAGCCCAAATTATGTGCCATTGGTGGGATACGCTCGGACTTACGAGACGCATCAGAGCTTAGAAACTCTATAATCCGTATTGTCATTAATTCTGATTTGTGTCATCATTGAATTAAGGCATGAACTACATGGGTAATTTTTCCACTGTCAAGTTCAAATCAACGATATATTCGTTCTTTAAAGAACAAAAGACACTCATGAGCCAGGTGGCAGAGTCTACGGTAGCAGATTAATATCCTCATATGGCGTGGTAAAGGACAATCTTGCCAAGATAAGTGAATCTGAGAGGCTCTTGCGTGCTATCCTCAACAATAACGTCAGTTCGTTGCCTTCAATATGGCGTGATATTATGCCAGAAAATGACCCCGCAATATTTCATGCGAAGGACCCGCAGTTGCACCTTAGTTATGCCCGACAAAATCAACTCTTATAAATCTAGGAGGTTCCTTTGCTTCGATGATGAAGCAAAAGAAGAAGAATATCGAAGTTTTAGCCGACCCATAGTTCTCAAGTACCAACGAATTCTTCCTCGAGATAGAGCCTTTTCATTTCGACGAGGATAAGACTCGTGGGGGCTTGGGAAAACCTCCATCGTACAGAAACCAAACCAAACTCAAGTTTAGGTGATGTCGACCACTCTAGCCTGTGTAGTTTACTAGAGCTCGGCAACTCCTAACGCACGAGTCAGAGTGGAGGTATAATTAATCATCCAGATGTATTATGGACTTGAATTTAATTACGATAGTCCTGCGATAGATGCTCCGTCACATCAAATATCTGTGGGCCAACAAACAAACAACGCTTCACATGCATGCAACGGTGCCAAAGTCAAGTACAATTCGCCCTTGATTGGGCAACCATTGGCCCGCACCGGATGTTTCAATCGGGGGAGACATACAATGGACATACTTGAATCAGAGATTCGAGCTTGGCGTCTCTATTTATGTTTTATTGCTAACTGGGTAGTCTGTTGTTATAGTGCCCGTGTATCTTCTATCGCGGCTATCAACAGCTGGGGTTCCTACATCAACATGCCTAACTCTTCCAATGCGGCTGTTTTTATAGCTCTGGCAAATACCAGCATACCTCCTGATACTGTTGCATTATATATGCCAAAGGCTAACCAAAAGGCTTATTACTCTCTTTCGTTCATCGTTAGCTTTTTGTTCAACCACCTGATTCGTAAGTGCACATTTAAATGCTGAAAACTTTTTGAAATCCCAACGTAGTGAAGGGAATGACTAAACTTTCGTGCATGTAGCCTCGCTGCAATCCACTAGGGATACCGGAACGGCTATTGCGACGACCACTATCTTTCCGCTCTGGGATACCATTCCCTCACATTCTACGGGTGGGCAAAGGTACATCATAAGCAATGGAATTGTTTATCTAATTATGAAATCAATCTAGTGCTGATCTTGTTCGTTATTATTCGTTATTACTAATGTCATCGAACAGAAACCGAACTGTTGTCTGATACTATGGTTATGGGTCGACAATTACATCCGTCACAAAACTTGGTCTAATCTAGACGGATGCAGATAAATCGGACTTCCTGTTAGGTGTGCAATTGTTGCAGATGTGCAAAGCGTGTCCTCCTAATTGGTTGGGTCAGATGCCGCTATGACATGCATTTTTTTCCTGTTCGTCACTTGATGCCTCTTCCTTTCTTTTGCCCGACGATGTTACGTCGTCATCTGTGTGCGGCGTGGCTGTCACCCTAAATCTGAGGCAGTATCAGCCAGTAGGATCTTTGGACATTGGGCGCCAAAGACCCTATTGCAGAGATTTTATTCCAACCCTCCAAACCCTCCCTTTCGAAGCGCCGATCCCAACAAGTCTTTACGAGTTGTCCAGTGAGACTTTTCCAAACAGCATTTGGACGCGCATCAAGTCGATCACCAGATCCACCGCTATCTTCGCCCCCCACCCTTCAATTTGGAATTTTTTTGTTTTCCCCATTCGCATTTGTAAGCTCACGCTCACCTTTTAGCTTCGAACCTTGCAAGGCTTTCAGAAAAAAGCCCGAACCTCGGAGGTAGTCCGGTGGATAGCCAGGATGGCCACGTGGGGGGCTGATGCAATGCGGGATTAAGGACTGAGTCGGGTATTGTCGGTGCTGACGTACCAACAAAGCCGGACGAGCGAATCTGACATGGGTGCCTGCGTTGTTCAGGACAATAGTCTATTCTGTAGTTGAGTACACCGTATTTAACAACACATGTCTAGGGTATCCCTTGGTGAAGGAAGGATATTCGCCGAGGGGGAGGGGTTCAGATAATAGAGAAGGATGGTGGGGTGTGCAAAGCACGAGCAAAGAACATCCTAATTAAATGCCCTCAGTCGGTGCAAGCGATGTCCGTTAGTTACCGTCTTTGTTAATCTGTCGGCAAGGCAATAATATATACCGCAAAAGCCATGAGCCACTAGAATACTATAGTGGCGGCCCAGAAGTATTGCACTCCAGTACTCTGCATCCTGACCGCCCTACCTACGACAACCTACACCGCGTACCTCTACGCACAAAAGCGCGCTGCGTCTTTTTCGCATTGCAGAATATTCGGCAGATAATTAGTAAACACTACGGCCGAAGTACCGGGGTGCAAAGGCTTTAGCCACTGTACATGTCATGTTCACTTTGGGAAACAGTGTCCTCTCTCAACTTGCTGACCACGGGCCCATCTTTGTCAAAGTAATACAAATCAGTCATCGTGCATGTCTTAGAACAGTTTGCTCTGCATGCACCATGCAATCGATCGGCCCCGTGAGGCAAATCGAGACCCTGATCTCGCAATTATGTGATATCACTGGACATAGTCGACTGTAAGGTGGCTATGCACTTTGCTGTGCTCCGGTTAATCTCGACGGGATGTTACAAGACTCGGCGGGTGAGATGAATGCTGATGATCCCAGGGAATGTGTTATGTGTATTTGTCTGCACATTATTGCGAGCCTGTATTTACTTTTCTCGAGAACTCATTCCTTACCGGCCTGACATGCGTATTAAAAGTTTTAAGGTCCTCTCTGCTGAAAGAGGGTGGTTTAATTTGGGCGCAATGGCTTGACCACCCCTAAAATGAAGATCTTCCTTTCGCGGATGACATATCGAATTTAATTACTAAGTAGATTGACTCTCTGCAAAACTAGTCTTGACGTTTTCGAATGCTTTATCCTTAAACAAAGTTTTTCTTGCAATGATTATCCCAACCCTACCAGGTAGTATCTCCTGGGCCTGGTTCTATACCGGGTGACTCAGCTGAAGAAAATCCTGCCCCCCCATTTCCGCGCCCGTGTTCTCCGTTCGCCGGGCGCACCCTCGGAGGCCCCGGTGTGGAACGTCTCTTCCATGGATTGCATTCAATAATGCAAATCAGAGGGGTTAGTAGTGGGGATGAAATAATTTTTCTGAGGAGAATAGGACAACATTACCGACTTGTGTGCCTAACTAGGACTGTCTGCCGAAAGCTAGTACTGTAGTACTCCTATATTTGTCCGTATTGTGCATGCAACACCTCCGTAGTTAATTTGGAAGGCCGTGAGGCTCTGCTACATTGAATTTCTCGCTCGGTATATCAAGTGGGATTCTACAGCATAGCGTTCACTTAAGCAGACGGTCAGCCGGAGCGCTTGGCGTCTACGGTACAGTATGTATGGTCTTTCTGTACGGAGTTTTGAGCGAAATTTGCAGCATGGGGTTTTATTACGATATGCTTGTATTTACATTGTATAGGTTAGGCCGAGTCAGGTACAGTAACAGAATAAATTAAGTACGGGATAGAGTCATCAAAATCATCTAGAACCCCACTTCTAATATACGCGGCCATCTGCAGCTACATCAATTCGCCAGATGAATTGCAAGGCCATGGCTGATGTTCATCTGTAAAAGAGCAAAAAATACACGTCTTTCGCACCATGGTATTGATGCAGAATTTACAGTACACACCCTAGGCGTAAACCAGTATACCGAGTCCCCTCTACCCCCCTTGCAAAAAATCACAAAATACTGATCGGCTAAACCTTGGGGAGTTACAAATGAAGTACCTGGCTCGTCGTAGCCTTCTCGTATCAAATCTCTCCGTCTGCTATGATGTGGCCATATCGTTAGGGCCATGGTGCTTCTTGATGATCATGAATAGGGACAGGTAGATTGCCTAAGCACCAGACATCATGCTCATCACCTTGGATCCGCACTGCTTCTTTTTTGGGGCGGCCACGGAGATCACCGAGACAAAGAGGCAGCAGGAAATCCGCGGTCGAACCAGCTCCCGCGAGTGTGCAGTACAAACCAAATCAGCCGAGCTAAGTCCGGGTCGCTGGATCAGCCAGCAGGTTTGGGGCAAACCACACCCTTCCGCGTTCGAAGGACCAGTAAACGAATACCTATTCACTCTATGCCTCCAATCAGAGTATGCCTATTATGGTATGTACCGAGAAAATTAATTTGTTTCTGGACTTTCGCGTATCGGTAGTTGTATTTACGGGCGGGGTCGCCTGAACTAACTACGGACTTCCTTGTTATTCTTGGCCCTCGCACCTCTAGCCATACGAGGATATGTCACCGCCCAGATATGATTGACTGATATCTGTAAAGATCTAAAGACAATTTACTACCCTGGGATTAGCGTTGCGTCCGGCACCTGTCAGGTCTGCAGACCGACATCATCTTGACCGCTTACGGTGTCTCAGTGTGATTCAGCACGACGTCGCGCTCTTAGACCCCCTGCCGTTTACCATCATCACGGGTAAAGCACCCATGGAACAAGTAGAAGCAGCCCAAAGAAAAGTAAAAGCCCATACTGCCATCTGACTTGCTGAACACAGCCATTAGCCCGAGACTAA